GATGAAATGGAATAAAGGTGCAAAAGAAGGAATTGTCGTCGCTGGAGTTCAAGGCCAAGGGAATGCTCTGACACAATTGTCGTCTCCTCGAGGACTGTTTGTCGATACATTGGGTGCAATCTATGTGGCAGACCATGTGAATCATCGAGTGATGCGTTGGCCTAAAGGAGCGAAACAGGGTACTGTCATTGTGGGTGGAAATGGGTACGGAGCAGGAGCAAATCAGTTCAATGGTCCCGTTGGTTTGTCCTTCGATCGGCAAGGCAATCTCTATATCGTCGATGAGTGGAATCATCGTGTTCAACAATTTTCTATCGAATAAACTCATTACGATGGATTAATTTTTTTCTTTCCTTTCTCTTAAACAAATCACATTGAATTGATGAATGGAATAGTTTATTCTATTCATATGTGCGACCAGCAACCATCCTGGTGGAGCCGCGGCGAGCGTAACGCTCATGCACGCACGGGACAGACTCATATCATTCATATCCCTCCACTCGAGAGATATGTCAATGACTCTGGAGAAGCCTGGTCGTGTGCCAAGGACACCAAGATAGTTCCTGGCCGATGTTTTAGGCCTAAGTCCGGAAGGCCTGATAGATAACAGGAGTCTCATCTCAATGGACATAACTCACCCCTCCCCCACTAACCCTCACTTCTCTAAGTCTCACCCTAACTCTTCTCAATCTCAATGTCACTATTTAACCTCATTCCTCTCTCACCCTATTCTCATCTCAAAAAAAAAAGAAATAATTACTCACGTACTTTAATGTTGGACGATGATAAAGACGACGCGACGATGTTAAGGACTAAAAGGAAAAGAAAAACAAATTTAATCAATCTTATATAATGAAAAGAACAAGATGACTTACTCCACTGTTATCTTTTTCTTCGCTGTTCAATGCCTAAAATTAAAAAAAACCAATACATAGAAAAGATCATAGAAGGACTTACCACCCTCCATATGATCCAACAGAAAAGAAAACGAAAAAAAACGAAAAACTGATACCTACATTTTATTTTATTGCTTGCTGCTGAACTGAATAATTTTGTATCGTCGAACCCAAGCTAAAATATGATTGAAACACGATTGAACAAGATAAATGAAAGGAAAGAAGCCGCTCTTAGGGACACATAAGCTTTTATATGGTCACTTTTTATGCATATTCGCAGTCACTAATCGAGTTGTGAATATCCCTCATTCACTAGAAAATTTCTCAACTCGGTTAAAAAGCTAGATATTTTATCATTCGGAATTAAAAATGATTACTTACCATAGTAACTGAACAGTTTGTATTTTTAACTAAAGCTTTCAGAATGATATTGTCTTTTATGAATTTTATGTAGAATGAAGTATGTCTTTTAACTGCTACCGATTTTTAAGAACATTTTTCTATAAGATTATATGTATTTTTTTTCGTAACTCAAATTGAATAAATAAATTATGCATAAATGTAATCTAATTTACATACAATCACGTATCTCAAACATAAGTTTACACGCATAATTAACAAGTGAAATAAGTTGTACATCTTACGTATGGGGATAATTAAGAATAAGAAATGGCACTTATCTTCAGAAGTTGTTCTTAAATATATGTATACTATGAGAAGGCACATTTCAAACGACAAAAAGATAAACGTAATGAGTACAACAATTGTTCAAGATACTTTGACCGTTGGCATTGATATTGGAGATATTATTCAGAATAATCCACGATTAAACAATGATGTTTTACCTCTTATACTTGCAAAGTTTCGATCAATTGTACCAAACGCCAATGAAGTTCCTGAAGATGATTTGAAGAAAGAGATCCAAAGAAAAGTATGCCCATTTGCATTATTCCTTTCTTCTACATCTGTTTTTGTCTACCTTGGATTTGAACACTTTCCAACAGTATATTCACATTATCCATCTATCACATCTTTTTTGAAATTCTATTGTAAAGCACTTTTCTTGTTTTAGTTAAATATGCTGAAAAGCAAAGCCAAATTCAAAGCTGATCATCGTAAAATAGAGTCGTATCATTATTGCAGTAATTTGATAACAGTTGCAATTAAAAATCGAAAGGTAAAAGAGCAATTGATGATCTTTCATAATTTGGGAGTATTTCACAGCTCCAGAATTTTTGCTTACAGGTGAATAACACCGCATTCAAACAAAGTGATCTTGATACAAGTCTGGTTAATTTTAATAATCCAACAACTGTACCATCAAGTGTAAGTACTAATACTTCAGTAGAATTAAGTTGAAGATGGAATCCAAAGCTAAAAATTCTTTCTTCGTCTAGGTTCTCGCTGGTTTCTCGACAGTGTTTCAGCAAAAACGTTCTGATCAAAGTAATTGTTGTCAAGCACGAAAATGTATCAAAACCGTTCAAACAGCCGCTACTGGTCCTCATTCCACTTGTTCTGATGACGAATCCTTCCTCAAGTAAAAGCCTTGCGAATCTGAAGAAAGATAATATTTATTATACAGATGATTTCATTTTAGATACAGTTTACGTGATAGATCAAAACTGATAAAAATTCAATATGATTATATGACGTATTATGAATCCTCAGAAGACGACGACGATGATGGATCTCCTGATGATGCTCTGCTATCAAATGTGAAACTTTTAGAATTTATGAGATTTAAAGATAAATATAACATCACTGATGAAGCCATTAGAGTTTTGAACCAGTTGGAATCAATACATGACTCATGCCCAACATTATACCATTTGAAAAAATTGAGAGCTACATTAAATAAAAATATTCCAATTAAGAAATGTGATCAAGGTGAGTGTAGGGAAGTTTCAACATATATTCCGTTTGGTCAGTCGCTCTTCTCTATTATAATATTTCCTTGTATAATATAACTTC